TATTTATTTATTTATTTATTTATTTATTTATTTATTTATTTATTTATTTATTTATTTATTTATTTATTTATTTATTTATTTATTTATTTATTTATTTATTTATTTATTTATTTATTTATTTATTTATTTATTTATTTATTTATTTATTTATTTATTTATTTATTTATTTATTTATTTATTTATTTATTTATTTATTTATTTATTTATTTATTTATTTATTTATTTATTTATTTATTTATTTATTTATTTATTTATTTATTTATTTATTTATTTATTTATTTATTTATTTATTTATTTATTTATTTATTTATTTATTTATTTATTTATTTATTTATTTATTTATTTATTTATTTATATTACGTATTGTATTGTCCGATGTGCTCTAATCTGTCTTTACATCACCCGTGAGTGTCCTTTGTGCAGCAGCCTATTATTTGCATGTGTTCTTCTTTATGGAGTGAGCTGCGTGAGGAATAAAAAAGATACGGGTCTTCTTCTTCTTCTTCTTCTCCATGAGACCAGGCCCCTTTGTGTGGGATTGAAGGAGATGAGTGGATATGGTGAGTGGAGAGGTCTAGCCTAAGTGGTGTGTGAATTGTGATGAGTCTAGAGGTTGGAGTTCTGAGCCGGAGATGGATCAATTCCTAACAGTGGTATTAGAGACGGAAACTGCCGTCCACCGCCGTACGCCGCCGTACGCCGCCGATTCGAATTCCCTAGAGGTTACCAGTCGTCCACTAAAGCTTCGCGTGGTGTCGTCGCTTCCTGTTCGCCACGAAACTAGTTCCCTTCACCGAAGTTGCAGGACGCCGCTGGAACCGTCGTCGCCGGAACCCTCCGTCCGCCGCTGAGTTCGCTTCTCACTCGTCGCTGATGTCGGTGGAGGCATCGAGAATCTGAGCTCGCTGGTTGCTAGAGCTTCAGGCCTGGAGCAGACACGTCGCAGGGACAGAGGCGAAGGGGTACCGTCGCAGAAGCCAGATTTGGACTCATTGGGCTGCTGGACAGCTTACGCTTCTGGACCTGGATTGCTGCTGGACCCGAACTGCTGCTGGACCACCGGTCCATGCCGGTCAACCGCCGGTCAACGGCAGTCCACTCTCCAGAAAATCCCAATTTTTGGGTGGGTAAGATCGAAACCCTCTCATAGGGTTTCGCTCAGGTAAATTAGTTAGGTGCACTGGGTGCCTCCGAATTTAATTTTATTTCCCCTTCCTCGCGGGCCGCCAGTTGATTTTATCCCGGCCGCCATCCCCAACGGTAAGTATGCCTAACTATTTTATTCAATTCCGTTGAAGCTTGTACTTTTTTAAATTGAATTAATTGTGTTATTTTTAATTCAAACTTGATGTTTTCGGAATTATTTAGGGTTAGAATTGTGTTTTTTGTATGCTGCCTGGGGTACGTTGTTGGGGTTATATTTTGTCCTTGCTATCCTTTCAAAAAAACCATAGCTTGGTTCTGGGAAGTAATTTCAATTTGTGTGTGTTTGATCTGTTTCTATACATTTTAATCCAGTAAAGTGGTGAAGTTAGAACTAACTTACTCATTTCAGTTTTATATAAGATAGTAGATGAACTATTGAAGATTTAAAATTGTACAATTCCAACATTGCTCCATTCTAATCAAACTTTGATCAGGTTTAAAAAACATCGGATTAAAATGATAATATGTCAGAGACTGTCAACCAATGGTATAGCTTTATGTATATGATAGCTTTGAGCCATTATATACTTGATATGGTGGTCTTTGTGTTTTGATGGACATGTCAACAATTTAATTTTGTTTGGACGGACATATCTTATATCAACAAAACCGATCTTGGAACTCGATTTGTTAACAATTATCATATATAGGTCTAGAACATTGACACTCTTCAAAAAGCTCGGCATCCATTTCGAGGAATCTTTTTCGGACATTGGAGGTCAGCCCATGGACTGCTTGGTTCCAGTGAGAATTTATATTTCTCTCTAATGTTTGAAAGACGATAGGTAAAGTAGCATGTCATTTCATTTCAATCAGTTTCATTATACGCTCATTTTTCAATACGAATAAAGCCGTCTCTGCAACATGTCATCATTCCAATGCTTTTAGTATCCTTTTGGAACTCAAATGCCAGGGGAAGAAATTAAGGAAAACGTAGAGAAAATTAAGAAGCAGAAGAAAGGCGCTGGGTGGAGAGATGAATTAGCTGCTTAGAACCCCCAATAGATGAATTTTAGATATATCTTCGCTCATTTTAATTTAACATTGATTAAAATGTAGGTTTTCTTATTATTTTCCAAGGTAAATACTAAAATATTTGTCATTTCTATTAATATACTATGAGTACTATATTATCATTGTTGTTTTTTCCTTGCAGTTTTCCAAGTGCCATGTAAGACCTTAGCGTTCTCGTCTTTATAAGAATTTACCAAGAAACTTTAAGTGGCTACTTTTCAAAGATCGATTACTACTAATGGAAACTATCTGCCTGATTTCCCGGTCTATGTTTGAATTTTTTCTTCTATTTTTTTAATAGTTTTTTCTTAATCTGTTCTCAATCATATAGTCTTTATGGTCGGAGTCCAATTTTCAATCGACATAGCTCCCCTCTTCTTCATTAGAACCCTCAAATGTACTCATGGTATTTGCAAGACACTCATTCAATTCATTCTTAATTCTTAAGCAATCTCGCTTTCGGGTTTTATACTCTAATATGTTTTACTTTTATTATGTTTAAAAAATTAAGATCTGTTTTGAATGAGAATTCGTAGATGGTGCTTTGGGTCACATTGTCAATGTATGAAGAGCTTTAGCAGAAGAACAAGGCAAAAGAGGGAAACCTATGTGGCCTTTATTATCTATGGACATTATGCTGATGCAGGAGAGGTAGCAGCACACATATCAGAAACCTTAAATGTACTTGTGGTATTTAAAGGTCACTCATTCAATTCACTCTTTATCCTTGACCAATCTCGCTTTCTGATTTCTTACTCTACTTTCGGATTTTTTTTTGTCCAGGTAGGTAAACCACCAAAATCGGTGGGGCAAATGCCGGGGAACATTTGCCGGATTTTATAAAAAATAAAAATAAAAATTGAAACATAAAAGAAGAGGGGGACTAGACCAAAGTCTCTTCAGAAAGGGCATACCCTTTCGAAATACAGAAGCAACGTCAACCAAGCGAAATAACAAAGAAACCTACGTACTACGTACTACATATAGAGGCAGCAGCACACATATCAGAAACCTTAAATGTACTTATGGTATTTAAAGGTCACTCATTCGATTCACTCTTTATCCTTGACCAATCTCGCTTTCTGATTTCTTACTCTACTTTCTGATTTCTTACTCTAATACTACGTACTACGTATGTTTTACTTTTATTACGTTTTGCAAAAATTAAGATCTGTTTTGGTTTCTATAAAAGAATTCATTTCAAACATGCACTTAAATCCTTGCCTATTTATCCAATCACAATTAGTTTCATATTTACACATTGGATGCTGCCTATCAGAATCAGGTTCAATATGACAATGTTTGAGGATTTATTGTAATCTAAATGCAGAATTTGCTATTGGTTATATTTTGATGTTCAGGGAGGAAGATGCATCCTTAACTATTGGTGCTATTGGTGAGTTAAATATATCGATTGGGTAGAGACTTCTAACCAGCATGCCATTTAACCAATTTCTGCTGATTTTCTGTTTGTGTATGTGTGCCACTTTTCGTCTTCCAGATTCTTCATCTAGTTTAAATGATCTACAAAAAGAGGAGACGGAGTGTCGACGGGATCGATACGGCAACTTCCAAAGGCACTTGAACTTGAGGCGAAAATGAAAGGCAAGGGCATGCAAACACAAATATGGAGGTTTGTAAATGATCAACTCTTTCGTAATTTCATTTAAAAGCTATGTCTTGCTTTATGTGCTTATGTTCAAGGTTCTTGATTAAATCCACAAATTAGAAGCTATAGCCGCAAAACAATTAAAAAATATATTTTCGAAAAGGGAAAATTAATTATTATTTTTTTGCAAATTTTAATGGGTGATATGTGAGTTATCACCCATTGAAATATGTGAGTTATCGCTTTTCAGGATTTTAATGAAAGATACACTGGTTATAATATTTATATTATCATGGAACATATTTTAATTGAATATAGTTTGATTGATAAAGTGTTTGCTATTGGTTTCGATAATGCTACTTATAATATTGCTGCTATCGGTAGATTTTTTATTAGCGTTGTGCATGTCATACTATTAATTTATGTGTGAAAGACGACTTAGCCGCATTAGAAAATGTGATGGAGAAAATTAAGGGGGCTATTACATTGATTTGGGTAAGTACTCAACTTAAAATGCAATGAGGTGCTTATTTGATTTCTAAATGTATTAAGTATATATTGTTCTTTTTCTAAGGATCTTTCTATTCGTTGGAATAATACTTATAATTTAATTGTTGTGCTTCTTAGATTTAAAGATTATTTCCCTACTTTTATGAAAAAACTTGTAATTATATTGTACAACCAGTGAGATCGATACAATGGAGAAAATTTGCATCGTTTTAGTTTATTTTCAAAATGCTACTCAAACTTTTTCTCATGTTTACACAACAACTAGTAACCAATTTTTTTTGTAGAAATTGTTAATCTCGTCGGTGCTTTTCAAGAATTTTCCCAAGCTCTTTATGTTCATTATTTTTGTGATTTTATGAAGGATATTTTTTTAAATATTTTCCCTGCAGTCCGCCTATATATTTTTAAAATATTTAGCCCACATTCAACAATTGTAGTGGAACAAGAGTTTAGCGAAACCGACAATGTTTTGACTGACTATAGAACGAGGTTGAGCGATACATATCTTCAGACGCTCGTTTGCATCCATGATTGGTTGAAGGCATGCCGTAGAACATGAGAAGTGAACATAGCACCGGACTGGCACTTCATGGAGGAAGCGACAGCTGATGCCGGAAGCGACTCTGACGATTAGTTAAATGTATTTAAAGTTAAAAATACTCTCAATTGTAATTTATAAATGTGTCATAGTCATTGTAGTGTTTCAAATAAATATACATTTTCTTTTAATGTGCAGAATTGCATTTTAAAAAAATAAATAAATATAGCCCTAACCGGCCTGGGCCCGGGGCCCTGATTAATCCAGGTCGATTCCGGTCTTCGAAAATGGGAACATGGATTGCCCGGTCTGGGACTGGAACTGGGACCAGACTGGGTGCGAGTCCATCCCTAAAGGGAGATGGCCAAAAACCTCCGAAGACTTCACAACATCCATCCCTCCGATTTCCACTTACATCGCAGGAGCCCCACGCCGGCATCAACTAGCTTTTCCAGCAGCTAAGAGAATCAGACGAATGGAGAAGCAGAAGACAGAAGAGCGGCATGCCCCATGTCAGAAAATAAGATCGGCAACAACATCCATGGCCCATGCCATGGATTACAGCACTCGTCCTCCCCTGTATTCGCTGCTGAAGTTCTGATGAAGAATGACAAGTTTCTTTTGATATGATGGAATGGAAGAAAGAAGGACATGAGAGAAAAAGAAAAAGAAAGGATGTTGCGGACTTGTGATTTGGATCTTATGTGGAAGAAGACATGCAAGGGAAAAGAAAAGGAAAAAATGTAACATTTGGCATGTGAATCGGCCACATATGTAATGCAACCTACTAACCGGTTGCTTACTGGTTTGAAATACTGAATTGAGTGGTTTTTTACAATTGGGGGAGTTGATTGGGTAATTTAATAGTACCAAAACTCAATTGACTTTTTTTTATATAGTATGAAGACATATTTGACAAAGAAGAACATCTCGAAGGCTTTACAAAGGTAAAAAGAAGAAGAAACAAAATCATGAACTTGATAAATATATCAAACGAAGACTCACAAGATGCACAACAATACTACCAGGTGAGATATAGCTCTCATCCCATGACAATCAGGAGCAACACAAAAAGACCCCCAAATGAGACGAATTAGTTTCTTTACTCGGTCGATGAGAGGTTTGACTTCCTACATAAATTAGAAGCTGCACTCAAGCGCTACAAATTATCTCATCCGGAGGCCGAGAACTTTCCAACCCTATCTTTAGAAGGTCATCAAGTTCCATAAAAATTCAACAGATCCATCTCTACTTCAATGGGAATTCCTCGTAATACTTTCAATTGTTGATGTAATTTTATTTTGTTGTTTTTGTTTATTTCTCCTGTACTTGCAACTTTATTTTAATAAAATAGGGAGGTGTTCCACGGCACCCCCCACCTAGTGTGGTTCTAACCGGGGGGCGGGGACAAAGACCTATTTGACATTTAAAATTTTGACGTGTCTTAAAATGAGTCAATTTTTTATTTTTATTTGTCCCATTATATATGGTGCCGCGCATAACTACTTAGGATATTTTTATCTGCACTTATTACAGTCCTATATCAAATTAGATCAGATCAGATTAGATCAAACAAACTTTAAAAGGCCAAATCAAAAGAGATCAGATTTCGAAAGTTGCAAAATATACAGAGATCAGACATCTATAAGACGAGGTCATATTTAAACAGACCATACCAGACCAGGACATTTCATTCGAATAAAAACATTCTTATAGAGTTATAGAGTTCCACATAAATACATAATAATGTATACTCACCATTTAAATACATATCAATTGAAATTTCATTTGCCCTGATCAGTATTCAATTCGTGAGTTACAAATACATAAATGTAGAGAAAATAAAAGGAAAAAGACCAGGCAAACTCACACACTGCACACACAAATTAAATTTAAATAAATAGAAATTTAATGTTGTACTTGAAAGAGCAAAAAGAAAAAAAAATGCAAGCTCCGTTTAGTCTTCGTATTATCTGGTCATTCCTCCTTCAACTATTGGAGCCATGGTGATTCCATGATTTTGTCTTTCCATGTTTCCGTGCCACCCTTAACAAAGAGAACAATACAATGTCAACTAATACGTAAAAACCAGCAAATCATCATCAATTATTATTGACTTCGCAATAACATTATTATATTAATGAAAACCTACGTTATTTTTGTGTATACAAGTACTGAAAATCATAAATTTGTTATTTATGTTTGAAATATACTCCGTATATGATAATCCTAAACACTTTGTCGTTCGATGATATCAACGTGACATTCTCAATTGGAGAAGATCACAAATTCGGAACTCATCTGAGTAAAAATGTTGAAATTTAACAAAAAAAATATTATAACATGCCAGAATGTGTAGCATTATATAATTAAATTGGTGCAATTATATATACCAATGGACATGTCAAAGCCGCGGCTCTTAAGCTCTCGGTACTCCTGGCATAAGGCACAACACTCGCAGAAGCAATGAACCATACAATCCCCGCAGGGGCTTTCCGTTAGCGCGAATTGCTCCCTCATCTTTGTCCGGTAGAAGCATGAATACAAGCACGCGCACCCGGTCACACATTCCAACAGCGCATACAATGCTCCACTCACTCCACAAGCTGCAAGTAATGCATCCAACATTTTCTTATTTTTTCAGTTAATGTATCAATAATAATGCATTCTACATTTGATGCGAGCTATGTTGCATCGAAACGCAGAAATTGAGGTAAAATGAAGTCGAAATGGGAAACATTGTTTTTGTCATAAAAATAAATGTGATGAATTTTTAAAAGGTTTTTATTTGTTTCTGAAATGAAAATGTACTCTTGTTTAGAGTTATCGTGCTTCATAGAATGCCAATGCATAATTTAGGTACTAAATGCTTGATGCAAATGAAATGGATGTAATATTTCTCAAGTATAGATAAACATGAAGTAGTAATGCATCTATGTTTTAGATACCACTTAGACTACCTGCAACCCAGGGTTCAATAAAGCAATTTTAAATTATTCACTCCTAAAATCACTGCAACCCTTGTATTCTGGAGTGTCAAAGTGGTAATATAGCACTAGGTGGCGTGGGAATTCCGCAGGCACATTCACCCCTGACTTTGCTTTGGACGTTGTACGAACTTCTTGTCGTTGGCTGCACCAAGGGATAAGTAGTGGTGGCCTATCTAAACTTAAAATCCCACTTTTTTTGAAGTTTAATAACTTTTTTATTTATATTCTAATATTTAAAAAAAAATATCATGATTCATAACTTTTTATGATCTTTCATATGACACCAATATCACATATATATAAAAAAAAGATGAAGTTTCAATTATTTGAGTTATTCAGACCCAAAAATTTTCTCAAATATTTTCAAATTCTAAAAAATTAAGATTCCATGATTAAAATTTTGTTTTGCATGTATCATTTTTTTTTTGGAAAATGCCTAATTTATGTGTCTTTACACCGAAATGTTTGACTCTTTAAATAATAATTATTCGAAAAAAATAAATTGAAAAAAATCAATGTATAGTTATAAAAGTAAGATTTCCATTCAAAAAAATTGTTGGGTGAATATATTGACGGTGCTGGATTGCAGTAAAAACAGAATTGATTGAGTGAATACGTATAAATTGGTGGGGAATTTGATTTATTGACGGGGATGGATTGCGGTCAGCCTTATAGCCCCTTTTTGTAGTTGGTTTTAGCTTATCCTATGAAACAGTGAACTTAGAATTTTACTTGTTGAATTATGTAATAACGAAGTAAGTGGAATTGAAGTTATTAAATTGACTTAATTAGTATACCGAAGAGGATTATTCAAAGTTTTTCATACATTTTTATGAATGTATATACTATCGTATATTTTAGGCCTTATTTTTTCTTAATTTAGTAAATCAGGCCATTATATTTCAACTACTATAGTACGGAGTACACGATAATTTTAGCAATTTAAGTCAATTTAGCACTTTCAAATGAATCGGAAATAATTTCAACTTTCAACTAATGAAAGTGTAAATAATTTCACAAAAAAGTGTACATAGTACATAATACTATCTCCGTCCTCTTATATTGGGAGGAAGAGGGTGACACAATTATTAAGAAAAGTAAAAAATGATTTAGAGCCACACAAATTTACCAAAATATAGTATATGACAATTTTAGTGGGATTTCGCGAAAAGGTAAAACGTGACAATATAATTTAATTTGATTTGATTGGTAAAAATTTTAAAAGAATTACGGGTACAAAATTTTATGGTTTGAAAAAGTAATACTTCGTAATAATAACACTAATAAACTAATAATAATAGTAAGACATTTGTAGTTAGTAGACTTACAATTAGAACCCTTATCCACAATTTCTGCCACTTGTCCAAAAGTGATGCATGGACAACAGAGAGTTATGCAACCTGATCGACCAGGGGACAGTGTATGGAAGTGAATGGCGGCGCGTGCAGCACGCGACAAACTTACAGTTAGTGGGATCGGAGAAACAGTCGCAAAGGCCGGTGGACCAGGGGACCCGAACCGTAGGCTTGACTTGAGTTGGTACCGTATAGGAGCCGTCGGAGCTGATCGGAATGCCCATCCTCGTGTTCCCTCCGTAAGAGGGTGGTGGCGCCGGTGCGGCGGAAGGTGCAAATTTTTGGTAGTCAGATGAGGCTGAAGAATTCATTGTTCTGGCCGGAAATTATTGGGATAAATTGGTCCGCTCGCAAACTTCAGGCTATCCTCTATCGAATTGTTACCGGAAAATTGTATTTCGCCGATTCTGTGATTTTTGGATACTATAGCTGAGCGGAGAGGAATATGTATTTATACTCGGTTTTAGAGGTATACTTCGTATATCATTGGTGTCAAAGTTGACTAGACTTTTTCAACGCGTTGAATAGATCAAATATGACCACTCAATTACCTTCAAATATACCCAGTTCTACTTTCCGATGTATCAAAAAATATACCCAGTTCTTCATGTAGCTTATTGGGTCGGGTCTGAATTGAAGGAGCCCAAACCCATACTCAAGCGCTATTTAAATCTTTACATGAATTGTCCTAATAATCTTTTACTTTTTGATAAGTTGACACTCGACTGGCGTAGGTAGGGAGAGAAATATAAACATACAATTTGACTTTCAATTAGTTTGGAGTCCCATAAATGGTCAGTTGCATCCACCCTCTTTGAAATGTAAGTGGTTTAGTCCACATGACCTTGAAAGTTGAAACCAAGAGCTTAACCACATGTGTATGAAGTATGAACTTAGAAAGTTTTTGTTGTACACATATCATATTCATATGTTTCTAGCTTGTTCGACTCTCTTCAGGTTAACTAATAACAGCTGCTCAACAAGCAACTATTATTAATCAGAAGGTTCACTTATAGCAGTTGCTCAACCAATAGCTATGAATTCCATTCTATTGTTCTTGTAGTGGGTGTTTCATTGATAAGATCTGATCAGTAGCAGTACAGAAGTTTGAATGTCATGTTTATCTCAATTATAAATAGGTTACAGAAAAAGCTTCAACTGAGTTTCAAATTTCTGGGCACATAATGTCAAAACGAAATTTTCGGCATTAAATTGTCTTCCTCAACTTACATGTGTGATTCATTCAACTAATTAGTTTACTCACTTTCACAGTTGACATGAATACCAAGGACAATCTCATTTTTGTACAGTATCATATTGTGCTTGTACTACACAAAAGTTGGAAT